GTCCAGCATCCTGTAGTTGGATATACATGGATGAATTGAGAAAAGGTTTTTTGTAACCTAAGCTTTTAAAATTTTCATTTTGAAATTTTTTTTGTTCTTAATTGCCTTTTAATTAGTTTAACAAGTTGGCAGGAAAACTCACACTAAAATTCCACCAACTCCTTCATGTACCCAGCTCTTCCTAAAACATTTACTGAACAACTACAGTATGGGTTTATCATGGGTGCTCAGTAGATGCTTTTGGATAGATGGATGGACAGGCAGATGGATGGGCAGAGGGAATGGACGGATGATGGAGGGATGGATGGAGGATGCAAATAGAGCAATTGAAGTAACCAGTCTTGGTTCAGACTGGATAGTTAGTGGTGTGGTTTCGTGAAAAGCCATAAGTCAGGAGCCAAGGGACCAGGAAAAAGGGCCCAAAGGTCTCCCTGGAGATAAAGAAGAGGTATAGTGGAAGTAAGGGAGGTGGAAGGAGAGGCTGTGGTCAGAGACTAAAACGCACAGTGTGAAATTTTAGTAGGAGCGGCTCCTGGTGACGAAAGGTCCAGGGAGCAGCCATGGGGAGGGCATCCAAGGTGGGTAGGGGTCCTGGAGGTCATTAACTACAAGGAGGTCAAGAAACTCTGAGTCTAGGTTATTGGATGGCAGGTGCACATAGCCTTTTATCCAATTCCAAGTTAGGATTAAAGCGACTTGAATGAATGAGATTTTACTCTGTAGCTCATCAAATTCCTCCCTGGGAAGGTTCTCTTACGTGAAACTGAATTTGCCATGAAAGAATAATAGTGCACTGAACAAAGGTATTTATTTATAATCCCTGCCTTATTTTTTAACCTAAGAGTGGTGTTGCTTAAAGGTCAAGTGTGTGTGCATGCGTGTGTGTGTGTGTGTGTGTGTGTGTGTGTGTGTGTGTGTGTATGTAAGACAGAGAGTGAGAGAAAGGAGAAACGACGTGCATCACATTGTTTTGTCGTCTGACCTTTTCAGCATTTTAGCTCCAGGCCAGTGCGGGAGCAACACTGAGAGTCTTGTGAGGATTCTGTATATCAAAAGGTCACCGACAACCAAAGACATTCTGTTCCTCCCTCCCCATCCAAATACTTGAAATTCACACCCTGAACAAAAATTCACAGTAAATGTTGGTTTGGTGAACATAGCATTATAATTGTGCACTGAAGGGGTTTTTTTTTGTTTTTTTTTTAAACCATTTCTATTCGTTGTACAAGGAGAAGAGGGCTGGATGGTGGGTCAGGAGACACTGCAGGCTCCCTACCACTACCCCCACCAGCACTTGCTCTGTGACTGGGAATAAGAATTGTGGCCAGGATGACACGTGTTTAGCACTTTACAATTTAAAACTCACCCCCAGCTTTTAATCCTCACCACAGCCGCAAAGTTGGCCAGGCACATATTATGCCCATTGACAGATGGAAAACTGAGGCAGAACAGAGAAGTGAAGTGACACTCGGTTGCAGTGGCAGAGCCAGGTCAGGCCCACGAGCCTCCTGACCCAAGCCCAGAGCTCAGCACTGGACTGAGGCAAGTTGCTGCCTCTCCATTTCGGGCCCTGTGACGTGAACCTGTCTCCAAATCCCCCCACCGACAGCTCCAACTGGAAGGACCATGGTAGGAGCAAATATTTGCCTGCCCACTGGCATTTCTACTGTACTTTTTCTGCTTCCTCCCTTTTCTGGTGGTGTGTTTCCTTTTACAACAAACCTCTGTAAACAGTTTCTGAGAATTACTGAGCTATGTTTGTAATGCAGATGTACTCAGGGAGTATGTAAAGTAATCATTTTAACAAAAGGAATAGATATTTAAAATTTAATACTAACTACGGGAAAAGTGCCCATTGTATAAAACATAGTTCATCTTTGGATTCAATGTTTGTCTTTGGTTTTACAAAGTAGTTTGTACTTTCAGTATTTTCTACATAATATAGTCAAATGCAGAGCAGTTGCAATGCATCCAAAAAATGAGTACGTTTTCTGAAAAGAAAAAAAGGATATGCCATGCACAAAATTCAGAGGTTGGAAAAAAATGTGTTCTGGGCCACTTCAGTGCTACTCACCCCCTCACAGCCACCAGCCTCATCAGACAGATGCCCCGACAGCACAGGAAGCCCACCACATGTGGGCCCCAGCCACTTTTTCCAACAAGGTCGTACGTCTGTCTTTCCACAGCTGGTCCCAAGCTGGTTCCAGGCCTCCAGTTCACACAGTTGGGAATGGCAGGCACTTCTCCCTACCACATGCCCAGACACTCTGTGCTGATCAGTCAGGGCATTTTTTTCTCAATGAACATGACCACAGATACTGTTGGTCACAAATTGGTCCATGAGATGAAATCCTTTTTCTGCCCATGGCTTAAGTAATTTTTAATAATTCACATCACACTTGCTTTCAGAAAGACTCCAATAAGAGACACAGTACAGGGCTTCCCTGGTGGCGCAGTGGTTGAGAGTCCGCCTGCCGATGCAAGCGACGCGGGTTCGTGCCCCGGTCCGGGAAGATCCCACATGCCGCGGAGCGGCTGGGCCCATGAGCCATGGCCGCTGAACCTGCCCGTCCGGAGCCTGTGCTCCGCAATGGGAGAGGCCTCAACAGTGAGAGGCCCGCGTACCGCAAAAAAAAAAAGAGAGAGAGAGACACAGTACAACCCAAAAAAGCAGGATCAAAGAGCCAGAATAGAGTCAGGGGAGGGTGTGTGCAGAGAGCCTCAGCTGAGGGAACCTACCGTTAAAGGGAAGAAGACAGCTCTCAGCTTCCTGACGCCCAGTGTTAACAGGAAACACAGGTTACCAATCCAGTCATTTTTTAGGAAACACAAACTTTTTCCTGACTTTGAAATCTAGAAGGCAATTCTAGTGTAGATTTTAAATAAGATAACTCAAGCCGCTTAATGGGCCTTGTCTTTACCCACCAAGGCAGTGTTTCTGAGTTCTCCAGACAGGATCAGAACGATCTGAGGTGCTCACTGAAAATGCATTGTACAGCATGGTGACCGAAGTTCATAATTACTACTGTATCATGCACTTGAAGTTTGCTAAGACGGTAGATCTTAAATGTCCTCACCCCTCAAAAAAAAAAAAAAAAAATGGTAACAGTGTGAGGTGATGTATGTGTTAATTAGCTTGATATTGTGGTAATCATTTCAAATGTATACATGTATCAGAACATCCTGCTGTGTTCCTTAAATACATACGATTTTTATTTGTCAATTATACCTCAGTAAAGATGGAGGAAAAAATACAGATTCCTGAGCCCCACCCCTAAACTCACTGAGTGAGTCTTTGGGAGATGGGCCCGGTGCTCTGCATTTTAAACCAGCTTACCAACTGATCCTGCTCTACCTGTACATGGAGAACACCCTCACCAAGGTGTTAGTGGATGACAGTGGCTTCATGCAGTGGCCTTTCCCAACCTTCGCGGTGTCTTATCAGGGAATAATGCCTGAACCCAGAAGAGTCTCTGGTGGAGGGACTCAGGATCCACTTCAGGATCCGCCAAGGGAGATATCTGGAGGCTGCAGAGGCTCCCCAAGCCTGAGTGGCAGAGGAGCCGGGCTCTCTGCATGCACTTGGGTTTGGAGTGAGCTTTCTCCTGGGATTTCAGATGGCCACAGGCCACAGAGAGGCGGGGCCCCACCTCAGCCCTTCCAGCACCCCTGGGGTCTGCCATCCAGAGCCCGTGGGAGTCACCAGCCCACATTAGAGACAATGATATGGGCTTGGCTGACCACCAGGCTCCGTACCCCTACGCTCTGCCCCATCCTCGTCCATAACGGGGCAGGCAATTTGCAGCAATGTGGATGCAACTAGAGATTATCATACTAAGTGAGATAAGTCAGAAAGAGAAAGACAAATACCATACTATGCCACTTTTATGTGGAATCTAAAATATGGTGCAAATGAACCTATGTATGAAACAGAAACAGACTCACAGACATAGAGAACAGACTTGTGGTTACCAAGGGGGAGAGGGTTGGGAGAGGGATGGACTGGGAGTTTGGGGTTAGTAGAAGCAAACTATTACATTTAGAATATAAACAACAGGGTCTTACTACTGTATAGCACAGGGAACTATATCCAATCTCCTAGGATAACCTTAATGGAAAAGAATATAAAAAAGAATGTATGGGACTTCCCTGGTGGCACAGAGGTTAAGAATCCACCTGCCAATGCAGGGGACACGGGTTCGAGCCCTGGTCCCGGAAGACCCCACATGCCACAGAGCAACTAAGCCCGTGCACCACAACTACTGAGCCTGCACTCTAGAGCCTGTGAACCACAACTGCTGAGCCCGCGTGCCACAACTACTGAAGCCGGCACGCCTAGAACCCGTGCTCTGCAACAAGAGAAGCCACCGCAATGAGAAGCCCATGCACCGCAACGAAGAGTAGTCCCTGCTCGCCGCCACTAGAGAAAGCCCCCGCGCAGCAACAAAGACCCAACGCAGCCAAAAATAAATAAGTAAATATATATATATAGTTTTTTAAAATTACATGGGAAGTATTTTCAAATGAGTAATAAATCTTCAAAAAAAAAGAATGTATGTATGTGTCACTGAGTCACTCTGCTGTACAGCAGAAATTAACACATTGTAAATCAGCTCTACTTCAATTAAAACTAAATAACTAAATCATAATGGGGCAGGCAGAGCCAGGAGTCCAGGAGCCAGCCAGGTGGCATAAACCCCAGTGAATGAGCCATGCCACACCCACACCCACCCCTGGGCTGCACCGCCCTGCTCCCCAGTGCAGGCTGGGACCTGCCAGGCGTCAGCTCGGGGAGGCAATTTCATGCTCTTTCCTCTCCCTCTCCACAGGTTTGGAATAAACTGCCTCATCCAGTTTGAAGACTTTGCCAATGCCAATGCCTTCCGCCTTCTCAACAAATACCGCAACAAGTACTGCATGTTCAACGATGACATCCAAGGTAAGTTTCCACCCCTCCTGACAAAGCCCCTGAGGACGAATGCCTCCTCACAAAGGCTCACCTGGGTGCCCAGGTGGGGAGGGGCCACCTCATAGCCGGTTTGCTGCCAGCAGCTGTTGAAGAAAGAGCAGTAAATCCAGATTCACTTTGCTAATTCTCAGCTCTGTGACCTTGGACATGTCCCATAGCTTTGCTAAGTCTCAGTTTCTTCACCCATAAAATGGAGATGATTACTGCTTCAGAGAAAAGTAAGAATTTGGTGATTAGATATATGAAAGAAATTTTAAACAATGCTGTGATTTATAGCTGGTTGAACATGGGCAGATCACATCTCTGAGCCACAGTTTCATCATCTATTCGTTGGGAATGATAGTAACTACCTTGGAAGATTATTGTGAAAATTTAAAGAGCTAATATGTGGAAAGTACCAGCGCATAGGACTCATCAGACCAAAGCATCAATCACCATAAAAGTGGCCTTCGCCAGCCGCAGTAGCTCGCTCTTGGATTTTCCAAACACAAGGCTGTCAGGGAAGCAGGATAAGGCCTTCTCTTAACTTGGCTGGAATGAGTGCTTCTCACAGTGATGACCGAGGCCCCAGAACATTCCAAAAGTCAATGGGAAGCATCTTCTAGTTCAGGGTCAGCTTGGCTCCCTGTTCTGTGGACCAGAAATATCTGAAGGCATTTGCTTCTTGCTGTGGAGATGCCAGCCTGTGACACTGGAGTAGGAGGGGTGGCTTCTCAGCGATTATCTCACCTGATCCAGGAGCTCTCAGGAAGGAGCATTGCCAGTTATTCCTAGTATTTTATAAAGCCCAAGGGAAACCTTGATGACATATAGGTTATTATTTAACAAATGAAGTTTGGCAAGCAAGATCTTTTCAAATCAAGGAACCATGTCATGTAAAACAGAACAGGTTGGTAGGGGACAGGTATTGGTCCCTGGGAGTTAAAGATGGGCCAACATTTTGCAGATGAGGCCCAAAGAGGTCACAGTTTTCATCAAGTGAGTAAGACAGACCTAGGAGGATCCAAGCCCAGGTTAAAAATAGCTAAAGTTTAGAGCTGAATACTTGTTATTCATCAGGCACGGTTCTAAGCACTTCACAGCTTAATCCTACCAGATATCACCAACCCTGTCTTATTTGTACTCCTGTGACCTCCCTCTGGGTCAGTTCCCTGCACGTTGAAAGCTCTGCTTCTCAGCTGGGACAATCTTCCCCATCATCTTTGGCTCAGTAACTCCTACTCACGCTTCAAGGCTCAGCTCCAGGGTCTCCTGTCCCAGGGAAGGGACAGCCTGGTTGGGGTGCACACCGGGTGCCTCCACAGCCTCCTGTGCCCCCCTCTGTCAACTTTCTTACCACACTGTACCCCACATGCCTGCACTGAGTTGTCTGTCTCCCCAGGAGACAATAAGCTCCCAGAGGCAGGAACCACATCTTTTCTCTTCTCACTTCCCAGCCCCAGCACAAGTGCCTGGCACGCTGTAGATGCTTCACTAATGTTTGGAGAATGAATGAACGAGGTCCACCTGCACAAATTGAGATTCTCATAAGCACCCACCTGTTCACGTGGGTGTGTCTACACTGGACACCTGCCTCCGAAGCCTCTCTCTCGTCCAGGTCGTCATACATGTACTCACCCAGAAATGCACCTCACATGTGCTCACACGCAGACATATACATCTTCACGTGTGTACGCCCTCATGTATACACACACACAACTTCTTAAATGAAATCAATTCGTTAGTTTTTAGGTCCTGCTGATATCCAGTTCCAATAGAGTCTATTTCACTGCCAGGCAGAGCCAGATGGAATGGTTTTCTGGGTCCCACGGCAAACAGAGGAGGAATTTCCCATTCTTTTCTCAGAAATGAGAGACTAAAGTCATTAAACTAAAATGCATGAGGAGAGCTGTCAAATCGTACTAGAATGGCAGGAGCCCTATAATATCGAGTCTTTGATCGGGACAACCTGACCGTTAGGCGTGGCCATGTGATTAACAGCACCGCCCAGATCTTCCCTCAAGAAAGGACTTGTTGCCCCAGCTGGCGGCAGGGCTGGCTGGAGCATCAGGCAGACCACGGTCCTGCCGTGCCAGGACGGCATCACCAGGTGATCAGGGAATATAGAAGCTCAGCCATTTTGGCCCAGTGCAGGACAGCTCTGAGGGCACATTTAACTCCAGGGCTCCCCACGGGGCTGGCTGAGGCCCTGGGGACTGCATCGCGGCTCAGCTTCTCCTGCTTCCCCAGCCTCGACCCCATCCTGCTTCCACTCCCTCCCTGGCACAGGTGTGCTGATCCCAAGGCCACTTCTTCATAACATCCTGAACACTTCACATCTCTCTGAATCTGCTTCCCAGGGAGCCCAAACTGTGCCAAGTAATCCAGCTGGCATGAACACAGAGCTTTAGGCTAGAAAAGTGTTTTCCATCCACACTATTTCACAGCTTCCTGGCCTCACCCCCTCCGCCTGTGGGGAGGACGGACATTGCTGTTCACGTCACTGATGAGGCAACTGAAGTTCAAGGCTTAAGTTTTGCTCCACGTTCCCACAACCTAACAGGCATAAAGCTGGGGCTAGAACCTAGTCATTTCTAACTCGGAATTCACTGTCTGTCCATGACGTCGGGCCGCCTATGCTCCCTCGTAGGTGAGGCAGTGCCGTGAGTCTCCTTGGTGAGGATTGAATTCCGGACCCCACGGAAGTGTGGGTGTCACCACTCTCCTCACCCCTCCCATCCTCTCCTCTAACTCCCACAGTTCACAGACCCCCCGATGAGGCCTGGGGACGGGGAGGGGCTGGCCCACAGTCGCCAGCTGGTTAGTGATGGGTCCAGAACCAGAAGCCTATGATGTGTACTCTCAGTGCTGGGTGGGCGATTAGCAGACTGGTGAGGAATTCCGGGATTAATGGGGCAACGTGGAAGATTAAGCTCATGCTAGAATTGACCCCCTTACCTCCAAATACAAGGTAGAGAGCAGAGGAAAAAGAAACATGAAACTACATAGCCATGCTCAAAAATAGAAAGGAACGCCGGCATGCACAGAATTGGAGAGAGCTGGGAGAAGGGGGAGGGTGGGAGGAATCACAGTGGTAAACAGACACCAAAACCAAACCACACGTGGTTGCTGGGGACAGGCCCGGTCCCCCCCAACAGGACTCGTGGTCAGGGAACACCCCAGAATGGCGGGGGGTGGGCCCAGGCTGCCCACATGAAATGAACGCCAGCGCAGCCTCATATCCTCGATGGAGTAAGGAAAGATGCGACTAAAGGCCTCCGGGTCCCCACCAGACGGAGCTCCGTGAGGGCAGGGCCGTGCCTGGTGCCGAGCAGAAGCTCGGGCACAAGATTGGAACTGTCTCCCAGGCAGTCCTGCTGTTTCACACTCCTGGGAATCACCAACCCCACGTGGCCGACCACAGGGTTGGGCCTCTGAAGCCCCAGCACTGGCAGGGTAAAGAGCTCCCCAGGGCTGCCAGGGTCTCCTCCGCGCGCCCCCCACCCCGGCCCCGGCCCTACTCCCAGCTCAGACCGGTGGGAAGCCTCGGCCTCCCCAGGCTGGCTCTCGGTGAGCAGGGCTGCCCGTGCACTGACTCATCGCTGGAAGCCTCTTCGGGAGTTTTGGAAAAGGCAGAGGCTCAGGTGACTTCTGTTGTTTCAGCTGGGATCACAGAAGCATCCCGGCTCTTAGCGGAGGAGAGAGAGACCTGGAAGGGGAACAGTGCTAGGAATGGCCATGCTGGAGGACTGGCCAGCTGTGTCCTTCCCAAGAAGCCAGGTCCAGGATACTGCTGGCCTGGTGAGCACAGGCCCCCGGCCTCCACGGCTAGCTGCCCGCAGTGTGGCTGGGGACAGCAAAGCCCAGCAGGCCTGTCAGCTTCAGAGCATCCTCCCACCCCAGCAGGCCTCCCTGGACCTGCACTGCCCTCGAGTCCGGCCACGTTCCCGAGAGCAGACGGCCAGTCAGGGTGCCTGTGTGGTATGTCAGGCCGTGGTCCCCCCTCATACTGCCAAGTTTTCATCTGTGAGCCAGAGTTCTTAACAGTCAGATGTTGGACTGAGACAAGCCTAGGTCTGAATCCCCACTTTTCTGCTTTGGGGCTTTGGCCAAGTGGCTTAAATCCTCCCAGTCTTCTTTTCCTGATCTGTAAAATGGACATGATAGTATTCACAGCCATGAGGGAGGCTCAGCCAGTGCTGCCAGAAAGATCGGGATGCCTTTCTAGGCCAGCGTTGATCCTGGCTGGATGGGCACTGTGCTAACTCATCATTCAGCGTTTTCATCATCACCCTTTTGCTTTTGGCACCAGGTCGCTGTAAGGGCTGCAGTGATGTAGCGCGGGAACGGGCATGGAACCGTACTCAGTTCTGGTACCGGGTACTGATACCTCTGGTGCACAGGAGGCTCCCAACACATGTACCGGGGGAAGGAGGAAGTGTTGAGACCCAAAACAGAGAGGCTGTGGTGGAGGTGAGAAGAGGCACCAGTGTGAGCGCAGGCCTGGGAAAGCCTGAGAAGAGAGGCAGGGGCCCACCTCACCTCTTTCCTCTTTCCACATCCAGCCTATTCTTCCAGCCCATTGAATTAGTTCTGTGACTTTCCTGCCGATTCTGATTCTGAATGTGCTGGTCCCTCTGCCTAGAACTCTCTTCTGCTCTCGGCTAATTTCTCTTTGTCCTTAAGGACTCAAACCTCACCTCCCCCAGGATACCGCACCCAGGGCCAAACCTGTTCCGCAGGCCCCCAGGATGATCCCACCCTTCCCCAGGGCCTGGGAGTGACACTGGGCAGTGGTCACCCGCTTTGCAGAATATTTCAAAGTACCCCGGGGCTCAGATGCCACGATAGGAAGGGGGCAGATGGGGAGGAATGGCCCAGCTCTGAAGTCTGTCCAGCTGGTTTGTCCTGTTTACAAGACACCAGGGGTTACTTCCAGCTGTCAGCGGTCTGCTGCTCCTTTCCTACCACACACACTAAGCAGCAGTTCCTGGCCCTTCCCGTGTCTCTCCCACAGTGAAACCTCCCCCGGCCGCTTCAACCTCATCTCTCCCCAGTCCCCAGAACCTTCCTTTTCGCTAAGTCCTGTGTTCTGAGGCTGTTCTTCCCGTACAGGGCTTTCCCAGCCCTGAGATTCTCGTGGGTCTCTTTGCACGTCTAATCCTGGCTGCTCTGAGACCTCCCCCTTAGCCTGTTGCATCAGTTAAATCCCCAAAGAAGCCAAGAAGATGGTAATTATTCCCTCCGGCGGCAGAATAGTCTAACCCTGCCTCCTTCATGGGCCGGGAACTGCCGTCTTGAGAGTCCAAGGGCTCCAGAAAATTCCCTTCGGACACAGAAACAGGGTTGAAGTCATCTAGAAGGCCTTTGCTTGGTTTCCAATAAGGGGAACTTGAATTTTCTGAACAGTTATTCTGCTAACCCCTGTGCTCAAGACTGTTGTATTCATCTTCATAAATCTTAAGGCTTCATATACCCGTATACCCAGTGGAGCCCCAGAACAGGCTCTCAGTACACGCTCATGAACAAATGAGAAGCCGCTGGCTGCTGTGGGAAGGTAATTCTGCGGATCCTGAAAGTGGGCCAACCTAATCCTAGAGGATGCCCAATCCCCCCTGGCCCCAGGCCTCCAAAGCCACCTTGGCCGGACCCTGGCGAGCCTAACTCCCTGTGTCCTTCTTGCTGCCTAAGACAGCAGCCTTGTCTCACCTGAGAAGCAGCTAGCTCTTTCCCTTTTCTCTGATAATGTGTGGTTTCGAATGGAAACTTCTTTAACTTTGTCAAATGTGACTATTAAAAGCAGAATAGAAACTACATTTTCAGTCCTTTTGTGCTATTTCCTGAACCTACCACCTCCAGTACTCAGTTTGCAGGAAATGCAATTATGGAAAGCTCCCTCTGAAAAGGAAAATTTGTTTTTCTTTCATCGTGAATGAGGAACAAACAGTCATGCTTTCAGCTGCCCTCAGCATTCACGGGCACGTGTTCTAACACATCCCTAGACCCCCGGGCTTCTCCAGGTGGCTACCTCCAGAAACCTCTGCAGCTTCCTTCCTCTCTATTTTTAAATCCCTAATACATTACCCAAGACCCTGCTCCTCAAAATGAAAGTTGATGATGGAGATAGCGTTCTTTGCCAAACTTTATAATATAGGATTTAAGAACTGCTGTTTTTCCTCTTGAGTTCTGGGCTGTGAATATGGCAACTTGTCACTTCGGAGGATGGCCTCAGAGAAAGATCCCAGAATGGAGAATGAGAAGTAGCCAGCAAGGTAGCCAGTGAGCGTGGGGTTCCAGAGGCCACATGCAGAGTTTCCCAAAGGAAGGAATGAACACCAGTATCAAATGCTGATGAAAGGTCAAGGAAGAGGAGGGCCGAGGACTGACCACTGAACTTGGCAAGATGGAGGTGCTGGTGAGGTTGACAAGAGGTGGGGCAGTCGCCTGATGGGACTGGGTTTCAGGGAGACCAAGAAGAAGGGAAATAGAGGTAATGAGTATATTCAGCTCTTTAGGAGAATTTGGCTATAGAGGGAAGTAAGAAATAGGGTGGGAATGACATAGGGTCAAGAGGAGGCTTTTTAAGGATGGGAACTTGATGACATATTTGTATGGTGATGGCAGTGATCCACTAGAGTGGGAGCAGTTGAGGATGCAGGAAAAAAAAAGGGAGAGAATTACAAAACAAATTTCTTGAGTAGGTAAACATGGTGGGATCCAGCACACAGCCAGAGGTGGCTTTAGCTAAGAGCAGGGACCATTCATCCACGTAACAGGAGAAACGGCAAAGTATATGGAAGTATATGGACCGGAGGCAGAGGTTTTATAGAGTTGGTGGTGAGAGGATTCACTTCTCTCCTGGTCATTTCTACTTTCTTTGAACTTCACTTTCCACTTCTGAAAGGGGAAAAAATGGGAGCTCAGTAGTACCTATTTCCTAGAGTTGCTGTAAAGATTAAATGAGCAAATAAATGCAGGCAAGCGCATACACAGCACGGAGCCAAGGTCACGGGGAGAGCAATCAATAAGCGGCAGTTGTTGTATCCTTTTGAAATTTTCAACTCTTTTCTACCAGATTTCCCAATGCTTTTTGTTTTCCACCCCTTCCAGAGTCACAACTGAACAATTACATCCACCACCTAAGTTCACTTCCCTCCACCTCCACTACCACCTGCCCCTCAGGTCTCCCCCAGGGAAACCCCATAAGGCCACTCCTGCTGCCTTCAACTCCAGAGTCAGGAAAGGCTGTCTGAGCTGCATAGACCAGGAAGGGGTGGAAGCAGCAACCCAGGCTTACCTGCTTTACTTCTAACTTGGTGACTAACAGGCGGAAGCCACTGCCTCTCTCTGGCCTCAGTTTCCTCATCTGTACAGTTGTTGGATGTCACGCTCTCCATCCAGCACTGAATTTCTGCAGGTAAGCTGTTATTCAGCCTGTAGGTTCTAACCACAAAAGATACTTGACATCCAAGAAGGAACAGACCCATCAAGAATGCAGTGTCTTTGGGAGGTTCTCTGATGAAATATCTTTGGCGCCACCTGGTGTCGTATGCTTTGTACAGCTCCTTTCAGGAGGCAGAAGGCTGTCGTGAAATATAATAGAATCAGATGCGGGGAGAAGGTGCTCTCTGTCCAGTGGAAAACTGGAAACAGAAAACGGAAAGTTCACTCCTGCTCCTACCCTGCAACCATTAGTATTTTGTAGCTCCTTTCGGATTTTGTGTGTATATTTTGTTACAATTAGAATCATAGTATGTAGACTGTTGAATGTTCTCTTCCTTCCAACTAACTCAGTGAAGCATGATTCAGGGGTTAAGAGCACATGCCCTAGAGCCCGATTCCCTGAGTTCAAAGCCTCACTCTGTTGTGTGATCTTGGACAACTCAGTAAACTGCTCCGTACCTCATTTTCCCAATCTGTAAAATGGGGATGATGATAGGATTAAATAAATGTCTTTACATTAAGACATATAAAGCACTTAGAACAATATGTGATGTTAGTTACTAACTTTATAGCATTTTTGTGTTGCTACACCATCTTCATAAGGAATATTTTTAATAGCTTCAGTATCCTACTGAGTGCCTACACTAGCTAGTTTACTTAACCATTGCTCTTTTGTTAGGTGTTTGTTATTTCCAGCCATTCTACATTATAAATAACACTGTCATAAATATCTTACCACATACCTTTTGGATTTTTTCATACATAGATTCCCAGAAATAGAAACATGAGGTCAAGGGGCAAAAACATTTTATGCCTTTGGTCTATATTGGGAAATAGTTTTCCAAAAAGGGTTGTAGCTCTTTAAAATGGAATGTGTGCTGAACTTTGCCCTTTTCATTGCTCCCTCACCAGCCATAGATAACGTCAGTTTCTTTGATTTGCACAATTGTAATGACCATAAACAGTCACACTTTAATTTCCTTTTCTTTGACCATCGTAGAGGCTTAGCGTTGCCAGTTGCGATTACTTTATTGTGACTCTATGAGGGTCCACACCAGTCGTTTTAACAGAGAAAACTCGACATAAAGAATTGTGAATTCTGCATTAAAGAACTGAAAAGCCAGAAAGAAACACTAAGGATCTGCTACCACCCCTGAGGCTGGGGGAACACAGGGAAGACAGGTGACAGCTGGCTAGCGTTCATGCCTCT